CCTAGCAATCTTCCTCTTCCCCAGAGATCACTGCTGATGGAAATCCATCCCATTTTTTTAAACAAAGGGGTAAAGTCTTTTTTTTTTTTTAATGTTTATTTTTGAGAGAGAGAGAGAGAGCACGTGAGCGGTGGAGGGGCAGAGAGAGAGAGACAGACAGACAGACAGACAGAACCCGAAGCAGGCTCGAGGCTCTGAGCTGTCAACACAGAGCCTGACACGGGCCCGAACTCATGAACCGTGAGATCATGACCTGGGCCAAAGTCGGACGCTTAACCGACTGAGCCACCCAGGCACCCCAGGGGTAAAGTCTTAAGAAGATGGATCTGCCTCTTTCACAGAGAACCCATGGCTCATGCCATTTCTCTTTTGTACCAGAAACACGGGCAGGCTACCTGTCCGGTCTTATCCAGAAAGATCTTAAGTCATCTGCCTCTCTCTTTCAAGCTATTTGCTTGAGGATAAAAAGGTACAATGCTGGCAGCTAAGATAATGTTCCTCTCTATGATATTCCTTAATTACTCACTTAAATGAAGAGTCATTGTTTCATTCCCTCGTTAAAAGACATATCTTATGAGCAGATAATTCACATGGATGAATTAAGAAGAACAAACTCATTAGACAGATTAGACAGTTTGAGACTGAATCCAACAAGGTATGGGTAGTTAATTATATAATTTGAAGTTTTGGGCAAAATGGGCCCAAGGGTCTTTCAACATCAAAGCCTCCAGTGGAGAGGGATGCAATGTAACTCAGGCCCTTCAGCAAAACACTCCTGTAAGACAACTCTACACAATATTGGTGATCAGTGTATCTTTTATGAATTGAATCAAATTAAAAGGCTAAAATGAAGAGCTAGAAGACACTTTAGAATTGTCAAGCATGTTTCCCCTGTAATGCTCTAAAAATGAGCACCCGGCTCTCCAGGTTGGAATATGGACTTGACTTTAGCCATGCTTCTTCTAAGCCTCAATTTCCTCACCTGAAAAATAGAGTAATCATATATCTGCCTCTTCGGGTTGTTGAGGAGATCAATGGAAGGCAGAGCACCTCCCCCCAGCTGCCCATCTTCTCTGCAGAACTTCCCTGGATGGATAGCAGCCATCTCTTCCTTGAAGTCACCCCACCCCACCACCCACGGCCAATGACCAGCTGCTATGGGGTGCAAAAGAGACCCCCTTCCCCTCAAGGCAGGGATAACTCCAATGTATGCCTTGCATTTCAGAGCCTCTCTTTAAGAAAATGAGACCACTTCCTTGCTGAGCTTTCCTTTCCTTTCTTGTTTTCCTCCCTCCTCACAGGTTATTCCTGAAGAATGCTCCTGCAACGCGTCCCATCCACCTGACTTCCTGCCTCAGGCTCTGCTTCTAAGGAACCCAAGCTCAGAGAGGAGGTGAAGAGCTTCAAAGTTAAGTGTATAAAGAGTCGATCATTTTCACTGTTATTACTTAATCACTCAAATTTAGGGCAAGCAGAAATACAAGGACCTCTGACACACTCTAATCTGACCCAAAGGCATACATAGCAAAGTGGCGATATAAATTCTGAAAAGAAAAATTATTTGAGTGAGACTACTCACAAAGTAACACTGAGGAGATAAACCAGGAGGCAGAAGCAACTAGACTAGCTCCGCTTAGATTTTTTTTTTTTTTAAGAATAGAGACCCTGTGGTATAAGGCCTAAAATTAATATTATGTGTTGCCTTGACATCTGGTAAAATCAGGAAGGCCTCCATGGCCGACATACAAGTTCCTCTCCCCACTCTGCTGTGGAGGGTAATGTCCTCTAGCCAAACGATTCTCCTGAAGAGGGACTGAGCACGGCTCCTGCTTATCCCTGAGTAGTGGGTTGCAGTTCCCTGCCAGCCTTCAGAGCTATCCAGACAAGCCGATCACATCCTCCCACAGGATCCAGGGGTCACCTCACCCTCTTGATACCACCAAGCTTGCCTCTCACAGCCCCTGGGTGTTCACTCCGTTCCTGAATGCAATCCCCATGTAGCCTTATGTATGGCATGTGGTATTCTCCTCCCCCCAGACTGTGAGTACATAAGACCAATAAACTGTCGTCCATCTCATCTATCCAGTGGGGGGTGCTGTGTGTTCAGCCATCCCTAGAACTGTAGGGTGGAAATTCCTCCATCACCAGTGGGGCAATTAAAACAGACCCTTATTACTAGGGCTTATAAGAATTCCTATACTTTTGGGGGCGCCTGGGTGACTCAATCAGTTAAGCGTTGGACTCTTGATTCCGGCTCAGGTCATGACCTCACGGTTCGTGAATTTGAGCCCCGCATCAGGCTCTTTGCTGACAGTGCAGTCAGCTTGGGATTCCCTCTCTCTTTACCCTACCCCTGCTTGCTCTCTCTCCCTCTCTCTCAAAATAAATAAACTAAAAAAAAAATTCTTATAGTTTTTAAACTTCTCCATTGTTTTGTTAAACAAATGTAAAATTTTATATTTTCATATATGGAATTGAAAAATGTGTGTGTGTGTGTGTGTGTGTGTGTGTGTGTGTCCAAGAAAAGAAGATTACAGTAGGAGAAGTTGGAAGACCGTCTTTGTCTGCAGCAAACACCGCTAAGAGCTGTATATGTGTATGAGAGGTAAAGGTGGGTAAGGCAGGGCTCAGATCAGGCCAGAGGGAGAAAGGAAGAAATGAACAAGTTGTTGCTGAGACAAAGTTGTGGTCCAGGTAGAAGCATCACTGCTTCTTGTTACACCAGGGTGCTTCTTATTGGAACACAAACCAAAAAATCAGTGGGAAGAGACCAGTGCTCAAAGGTGAAGGAAGTAAAGGCACTTGGGAAGAAAAGAAAAATCATTGAGGAGCTGGTGAAATACCCATTATTTGTCAAGAAATTCTGACACTGATTCTCATTAATGCAGAATCTGAGGGGTGAGATACGGTTTCTCTCACCACTTTTAGCTAAAGTCATCAAAAATTTTGGCTGCCTCTTAATCATGCAATATCTCAACCTTGGTACCCAGCTTGGTTATGAGATCGCCAGGGAGAAGTTGAAGGAGGTTCCCAGTTTTAAAGCCTTATAGGAGAAAGCTTTCTGATAATCCCAAAAGCAAATCCCTCCTGGACTTCTAATTCAGTTCAACTCATGAGTTATGCACTGAGTGCCTATAATATATAATACCTAATGTACAGTGTACATGTGTGCACCTATGATATATGAGAGAATCTGCCTTTTTAACAAGTCCACAGGTGATTGTTATGTGTGAGAGGTAATACTTGAAAAGACACAAAGGAGAAAAAGATACAGGTGAAGCCCTGACATTAAAACACAAGAGCATTCTTTAAAAAAAAAAAAAAGGTTAGAGGCAGGGGGTAGTTCTTAAAAAAAAGAAATAAGTAAAATACAAGATCACGTAGACTCAGTCACAGTATTAATGGACCAACAGGAAGAGCAGAAGCAGTCAAAAAGGGGATGAAGGTACGTGTTCAGCCTCCTGAAAGGTAGGGAGGTTAACCTGGGCTTCGAGAATGAGTAGGATTTAAAGAGACATAGAAAGCATCCCATGCATCCACAGAGTGATGGAAATGGGCACGCAATTCAGCAAATATTCACTAATTACTAAAAAAAAGACAAACATCACATCAAGTACAATGACTGCCATTTTAATTTGGTTGACTCCCTATATGAGGGAGACATTTTTGGTTACACGTGACAAAAAATCCAATTTAAACTCACTCAAATCATAAAAACTACAACTAAGTAGTTGCACATTATTGCTTAATTCAGGTGAGACTTGACCCCATGGCTCATGAAGTGCCACCAAGGGCCTGGTTTCTCACTAGTCTCTTCTCAGCCTTCCATGGCATTGGCACCATCCTCAGGCCTTGTATGCTGAGGCCTTGGCCTGCCCCCCATTGTAGCAAAAGGGCAGCTCAAGTCTGAACCTCGTATCTTCACCAACTCACTAGGATGACAGATGTTCTCTTTCGCTAGCCTCTGCCTATCTTTCAGCCCCACCCTGAACCAGGTTCTCACTTGGTCTCTGCAATCTACTTCCATTGGTCTACTTCAAGCTCATCAAATATGCTACCTTACTTCTATCAGAGCACATGGATCTCCATGGTGTATTCTTCCTCCTCTTTGCCTGGTTAAGGCACACTCAGACTTCAGCTCCCAGCTTAAATTTCAGGGCCTAAAGTCAGACTTCCTTGCCATCCTCACCTACCATAAAAGGTCAGCCCCTGTTATATGCTCTCAATACACAGTGTAGTTCTCTTTTGTGGCAATATATTATTATAACCATTTGAATAGTGTTTGTTTCTTTCACGAGAACAGAAACCATGTCTGATTTTGTTCACCATTGTATCCTCAGCATCAAGCATGTGTCTGGACAGTGGGAACTCAATAAATATTAGTTGGATGGATAGGTGGATGGATGGATGGACAAACTTGGCTTCTAAACCCGGCCATGTAACTAATTAGCTGCATAACCTTCAGCTTTTTTGAGATTCGGTTCTCTCAAGTGTGAAATGAAAAGGTTGGACTAGTTGACCTTTAAGATCTTTTCTGAATTTAAAGCACTGCATTCATAAAGTGTTACTGGCAAGAGAATTTCTTTAACTGCTGGTATCATGAAACCAAACTAAAAAGTGATGCTTTTGGTTACTCTGCTATCCTTTCACGAATGTTATTTTTAATCTAATTCTGACTTTGTGTGGTCTCGTGTGGTAGTCAGCAATCTGGAGAAATTCGTATCCTGCAACTGTTATCAAGCAGCTGGAATTGCCAAATAGCTAACACAAGTTAGAAAAAGATATGCTGACAGTCTAGGCAAATGTTAAATGAAATGTTACTGAGAGCATTTTACACATGTTCCTTTCCCCACCCCACCCCAAAATTGGCAGTATTCAAAGTAAAGGTTGATTTGGTTTAATGCACTGTTAAAAATAAAATTTCCATCTTTGAGTGATGGTTCATATGGAACATTGTGATATTGAACTAGTTTTATTTTTAATGTATAAAATAGCCTTAGTGTATTCAAATTCATAGAAATTTGATTAGATCCTAAATATATTTTCATTCAGGGTCCAATTCATAGCCATCTATTTGTGCATTTAAAAAGAAAATACAATTCATCTTTTCACTTGACATGCCTATGAAGCGCAAGATAAAATTTCTTACCTGCTCCCCCATTCAACATCTGGATCTGAACGATAATCTGCCTATAAATAAGAAATGAGAATTTTGATCAGGCAGCTTTGCAATCTGTTCAAAGCAGTCTGGGAATACTTGATTGCATAACAAATCTCCAAGTAAATTAAGTGGTGTTAAGACAGTTTAACTACCATAAAATATTTTATTATATTCTATATCCCTTAAAAATTTATACTTTCTAATGAAGTGATGCAGCCAGAGTACTGATAAAGAGAAAGCACTATATGGAAATGTCCCTGTAAAAAGAAACTCCCCTTTCTGAGGAAACCAAGGCCCCATTGTTCCTTATACTTCCTCTTCTAAGTGACGGGGGTAGGAACTGGCCAATTGTTCCTCAAACCCATTTCCATTTCTTCCTTGGCTCCCCTGTAGACTACATTTCCCAGCCTCCCATGTGACAGATTCTTGACCAATGGAATATAGGCAGGAAGTTGTACACCCCATTTCCAGGCCTGGCCTCAAAAATGCTCCCATGTAATCCTCTACCCTCCTTCCTCCCACATGTTGAAGGTAGCAGACAGAGGTAGGTCTGCCTGGTTTCCTGAACACTGTGTGAGGCAGAGTCTCTCTCCACTTTTTCGTATTTTCAACCAAATTAGAGGTAGCAAAAGAGGGACAACATTATTTCATCCTTCATTCTTCATATCTCAAGCTTCAGAGCACAGCACACAACCAAACCTAGAGTGGTTGTTTTTTTTTTTTTAATTTGACATGAGTTTATCCGTCTTATCTGTATACCATTTTGTTTTAATAGATTTTAGCCACTATGAAAACATAAAGGGTCAGGACCAGAGCAAACTAGTCTCAGTGATGGGTCTTGTTATCAATTTTGTTTTTTATCAGTTTTCATCAGTTGATCACATAGTGCTCCCCCCTTGAACAGAGGCTCCTTAACCACGTTAGGATCTACATTCGGCTGCTAGTTATGGAGACCTGAGACACAAATGGTTCAACTAAGACAGACATTGATCCACTCCATCCCCACCATGTAAAAGAAGTCTGTAGCTAAGCAATAGAGCTCCATGGCATCATCCTAGACCCAGTCACCTACTATATTTCTAGTCCTTCATTCTTTTTTTTTTTAAGTTTATTTATTTTGAGAGAGAGAGAGAGAGTACATACAAGCAGGGGAGGGGCAGAGAGAGAGGGAGAGAGAAAATCCCAAACAGGCTCTGCACTGTCAGCGCAGAGCCCAAAGTGGGGCTTGATCCCACTAACCGCGAGATCACGACCTGAGCCAAAATCAAGAGTCAGACGCTTAACCAACTGAGCCACCCAGGCACCCCTCTATTCCTTCATTCTTAGAGTGTGACTACCATCCCCTCAAGGTCACCTCATTGTTCCACAATGGGCGCTGGGAATCCAGTCATCATGCCTGCGTTCCAGTCCGGATGAAGGGAAAGGAGTGAAAAGTATAAAGCATGTATGCTAGCTATGTACCCTTTTCTTAAAAAACAAAAGGGGGGGGAGCTAAACAACAACAACAAAACCATACTTTTTCTGGGAAGTCCCACTGCGTGCAGACAATTTCAGCATACAGCTCTTTGGCAACACCTTGCCCCAACTGTTTTAATAGAAGAAGGGGATAAATCCTTCCTCTAGAAGCAGGTATTCTTTGTTACAGCCATTTCTCAGGTTTGGTTCTGAAAAGAAAGTTTTAATTAAAAAAGACTGATGAGATTTTTTCCTGTGCTACCAGATGAAGAATGCATTATATTTATGAGAGCTATCGATCCAATTCAATTGCCTTCCATGAATTTGCACATATTGTTTATTGATTGTCTATATAACCTATTCATTTTGTACTTTCTTTCCTCTCTGGGCAAAAGTAAATTATTATTTTTTTCATTGTATTACAGGCCTTCTAGGTTATCTGCCTAACCCACCAACTCCCCTCTCTGAGAACTGCTCTCCCAGACAAGAGTGGTCCCTGAGTCATATGTATAACTACCTAACCTACCCCTTGGCCCTTGAATATTGCGTCAGGGATGAAAACTTACCCAAGCTAAGCAGACCTGTTTCTCTCTTCTGAGACTTTGGATCTGTGATTAAAATCACAAGTCAGTCTCCACTAGTCATTTAAACAAAGGATATATAAGTTCAGAAACAATGGGGCAGATATCTTCTGCCACGTTTATGCCAAGAGAAGTACTTTGCAAATAGAGGAGAGGGAAGCAGAGATGGTGCAGCCTTTGTTTTGCAGATCAATGTTTTCTGTGGATATTTCCCCCAAACATTACATCCAAGTAGATGAAAGGGAAGGACTATAAAGAGCTGGTGTAGCTCATGTCAAGGGCTTACCTTTACTACTATGACCTAACCAATATGATCCCAAACCTTTCCATCTGTGATCTTCCCATGTGGTACACCGGAACCAGCATGAAATTTGCTGGCTTTTTTATGTGTTCCCCGATCCCCATCCCTAGTGTATAGTTCATTGAGTAGGTATCTGTTACTTCCTGCCAGGAGAGTCATCTTGCCTGCCATATGTCATCACAGGTTATTAAGGGAAAAAGATAGTGAAAAGGGGTTGGTCTATTGGTTTGGCTTGTTGGATTCAATTTGAGAAACTGAGTTCAACTGAGGTTCTACACTGTGCTAGGTCTTGGGACTGCACATATGATTAAGACATGGACCCTGTCCAGGAATTTATAATTTGCTATCGTAAATGACTCTCAACCAACTCCAGTATTGTATATGCACATCAAGTCATATCTAGCAAGAAGGAGTTCAGATCTCTTAGTTGGAAGATGACTTAGTAGCCTAGAGGCAGAAAGGGGAGATGATTCCATTGATTTTTTAGAAGAAGGAAACCCTTTCAAAGTTTTTTTTTTCCTCTCTGACCTGATTTTTACCTACTCCCCTGTTTTTCTACACTCTGTATAGATAACTCCATGGAGGAGGGCATCAAAAAGAATGCCAAAGCAAAGTAAACAAAAAAATATCTATACATAACTATTTTTAGGTAGTTTTCAAGTCAAAAAGCTCAGAATTATGCCAGGTTATTAAAGTCTATAAAACTTTTAATGCAGGCAGAAGAAAAGAGCAATATTTTTTCTTAGTCTTCCCTTTTCACTCTGATCTGTTTTGACCTTAAAAAAAAAAAATTAAGTTCCCTGCCTTCTGGAACTTTTTACCAGCAGGAGGTGAGAAATCACATAAATTGCTGGAAACAAATGGTAACAGTCAGTCATTTCTTTTATAATGGACCATTAGGTTGGTGTATTTGCATGTATCATTAAGATTTATTGCAAATTCTCTAATGGAATGACAATGCTAGAGATATAGTCTGTCTAATACAATTAGAATGTAGGCTTCTGGGGTAAAATTGCTACACATTTTCCTTGGAGGACAAAAAATGTGTATCTTCTGCCATGAAAATACCAGTGAGAATAAAGAAGCTATTCTGAATGCTTTTGTCCATTTTTACCATTTTTTATTGTAACAAAATTCTTATGAATTTCACATTAGCTGGTGAATCTTCTGAAAAAAATTTTTAATGCAGAACACAGGATAATCAAGATCAGGAGGATTATCTTTTATTTGTTGATGGAGAAGTCAAATGCTTTATGGGTACAATTATCAGGAAGGCCAATGTTATGTCCCCACAAAAAACTGTAGGAGCACTCACCTGAGCGATGCTTCCTTGGGGCAGATGAGAGATGGAACTAGATACAAACTCTCAGAGGGGTCAGAACAAAAAGCCAGGCCTTATTCAGATATGCACATAGGTCCATCCCAACCTAGAGGTTGGTTTTCAAGAGTTTCTGGTACCAGATCTAATTTGCATACCTCCTTTTCTCATCAGTACTTGGAACTATTGGTCAAACAGCCCCTTGCTTCATGGAAGGCGTCCCTGGTGAATACTGCTCCCTTCTACTCCTTGAAATGACAGAACTTTCCCATCATCCCTTGCACTGTTGCCACAGCTCCCTTAGCACCTCACTCCAGGGAAACCATAAAGCCATATGAAAGTCAAATCCAATGTAATTCCACATCTGGAAGAGTTTGGGGGAATGTCTTCCCAAGCCTGTAGTTTTACACTGATTTTTTAAAAGTGAATCTAAGCATTTTGGAGACTTTATTTTTTAGTCACAACATTAATTTAACATATTAAATATTATGCTTATATTCTATAGAAAGGTAGGAATAGTAAAAAGAGTGGAGAGAACTGGATTCAAAAACCAGGGACTTTAACATGTATTTTTTAAACAAATGAATAATTTAAATCTGTCTTTTGGCATCAGAAGAACACTATAGAATATTTTACAGAGGCAAATTTTGGTTATTTGAAATTGAGTGATATGGTAGGTTTTAGCTATGGGTCATTATAAGTGGAGTAGGGCTAACTCAGGGGATGCCAGAACCCCAAAGGAAAGAAAATATTAAATAAAAATATCTGGTTTATTATACATTCAGAAGCTCTGAAAATTTCTTTCTAAGTATACTTGAAATGTCTATGGTGTACTTTATTACAAATGAGGAAATAGAGTGTGAAATTAAGTGAATTACTGAGTGGTCAATCAATTTAAGTATATAAAGTGGAATATTCACTGAAGTGGTTACATAGTGTTACTGTAGGGAGAGCCATCATGGAATGCACATACGTACTTTGAAAACAATCCTGAAGTGTGTAAAACCCTGTTGATCAATGCTTTCTCCAGATACTCTCCCAAATGTTTCATCCAAGTAAGTGACCTACAAGGACCACTGACAGCTGGTGGATCTGGTATCAGTTGCTTTCAAAACTACTGTTTTATTATTATGACCTAACCAATACAATCTCAAACCTTTCTCTCTCTGGTCCTTTCACATGGCACATTGAAATCAGCATGCAATTTGGTAAATTTTTTTATCTCCCTCATCCCCACCCCCATTCCTATGTCCAGTACATATTCTCAAGTATTTGTTTACTTATTCATTTATGCATTAATTTATCAATCTGTAAGCAACCAGAGGGCAGAGACTGTATGTAGTTCATCTCAGTATCCTTAGTGCCTGAGACATA